TTTAATTAATTACTCACTAATCCACATTTAAAAAGGTTTCTTTTAGTTAAACCTAATTAGTTAATGGCTAAATTAAAAAGGTTTTTTTTAGTTAATCCCACATTTATGTTTCTTATTCTTATTTATATATATAAACATGGCAATCATTATTATTGTGCAGAAACTATATATTATTATTTTTTATTCCATTATGAATTGAATAAGCAATTAAAGTTACAAAAAATATTAATAAATTTAATAAATACAAACATTATAATACAGATCATGTTACATTACAATATAAAAAATGAAATTATTTTTTTTGTAATTTAATTTTTAGCCATACTCCATCAAACATATAGCTGCAAAATGATAAGAAAGATTAGTTTCATAATTAAAATAAAAATTTAGCTCCTCCAAATGGTAAAACCTTATAAATTAGTAGTATATATATATTTAAATGACATATAATTTATAAAGTTAGACTATATGCATAATAAGATGAAATAAAAAAAGTTATGAAGTAAATAAATAAATTAACAGTATATATAATTATTATAGCAAAGTCTATATTGTCAATATTATCATTTAAAAAGTTCATTGAAAAAACATATGTATAAAAAAGTCATATGATCATAATTAATAGTGCAAAATTAACTATCTTTGACTTTCCATTTGGTAGTAATAATAAAATATTTTATATTACTATTATTCAATAAAATGCCTGAATTCTGCAGATTTGATTATCGCAATCAACATTCTGTTTTATAAATTAAAAAGTGTGCGGAATAAATTGTCTCATATTTTTCATTAAAAAAAACTGTTAGCCGTGAAAAAAAAATATTATTTCACAATTATAAATATAAATATGATTAATTTTCATTAAACAATTCCTCTTTAAGAAAAAAGTGGCGGGACAAATTTCTGCATGATTATAACATCAAAACATATCCAACGCATCAATATTTTAAGGCATTAAAACCATACTTTCAGCAACAGAAAAGTCATATTAAACGGAAATTGGCAAAGTCAAAGAATGAGGATTGACAAGGCATTATATGTAATGGCATATTGTTATATAATATAGAAACATCAAGCATAATTAATAATCAACAAAAAAAAAAGTCAAATCTATATGAAAAAAAAAATCAAAATTAAAAACACAACAAATTATGTGGAACATTATTGGACACTATACAATATAGAAAGAAAAATAATTTGATTTCCCTATCATTATCAACACATTCAACTTTTACCAAGACATCTGCCTTTAGATTAAAATCGATTTTTTGCGTAAAAGTTTTAAAAATAAAAATCCCTACAGATTCTTTTAAACATTAAACAATAAATTTCTAATATGCGATAAATATATGTAAACAGATTTGTTATAAACGTACCTAATATTTCTAAATTTTGAACAAAATACTAAAAACTTTGAAAAACTTCGGCAAAAGACTTTGAACAACTTCGAAAAGTGATTTTGAACAAGTGTTAAGCAAAGCTTCACTTACTGATATGATGAGAAAGATGAGAAAGAATTGAACTATTTAGTGTTCAAAATCTCAACAAAATACATAAAAGTTACATATGTATGTTATAAACATATATGAACATATATGTTATAAACTTATCTATATATTTGTTAGTAGAGCTCAACATATCTGTTAGAAACTTACCTATTTTTCAAACATGAACAAAATACATAAAAGTTTGAAAATGTTCGATCAATGTCATGTTCTCTTCAAAAAACGATTTTGAAAAACATCTAGATAATTTCGAATTATGTATAAAATATGATATATTTTTGAAGTTTATTCAAAAAGAATTTCAAAAAACGACAAAGATCATTGAAAATAATAAAAAATAAAAACTATGTTTAACAAAAAAATATTTCAGCTCTTCATAGATTTGTAATATTATCGCCCGATTTTGACCGACCTGTTAAGATTTAGCAACAAAGATTAAGAAATCGGGACGAATATTTATTTTTCGATCACTACTGTTGGGCACAAAAACAACATTTCTCGGATTTTTTTTTTTTTTAGTTTTTTAAGCCTTTACTGGGGGAAAATCTCCGGTAAAATATTTATTTTGTATTGAATCTCGCCGAGTTTGTCGTAAGATCGGGTTAAGGATTAGGGTTTCAGACAGAGTGAATAACGAAAGAAGCGCCGACATCAAACAAAAAAAATAGCTTACATCACTCAAGGAGTTTATCTCTATTTATAGTCATGTTATCATTGACCTGTTTTATATTTGATTTTGGCTACCCTAAAAAATTAAGTGGACTTCTAATTTGGGCTTTTTTTTATCATTCAACCGCCCAAAAATTGTCATTTTGTTCAAATGTCTTAAATATTTGGCACATATCATTATTTATCAACCAAATACAATTATTTATTTTGTAATATTTTGCTGGTATTTTATAGTATTTTTTTTAAATTTCCTATATGATCTATAGTACAAAATAAAATAATTATTTAAAAAAAAAAAACCATTATATGTCTTAATTTGAAGATAGTGATTTGTAGTGATGGAGATTCAATTGATAGAAAAATCACAAACTTTGTATATAAAGAATTGTTTAACAATATTTAATTATTCTTTTTTAGAACATTTTTTCAATTATTATGTTATGTTTTTTACTATTGTTTATATCCTTTTATTATTTTTTGTTCTATTATAATGCTTTCCGTGCAAATGCACGGGTTAAAAACTAGTTTATATTTGCAAGCCTGATTTTAATTTTGCTTAAAAAGTTGGTCATTTTAGCTGTAGCTTTTAGGAGGAAAAAAAAAAAACCCGATACACTAACATTTATCACTTATATAAATTATTTTATAGAAAAAAATGTCAAAAAAAATTTCTAGTTTGTTGATTAATTAATTGGATTTGGGATTTAGAAATCTTCCAAAGGGATTAATTGGATTTGAGATTGGAAAAAATTTCAAATAAATTCACGGCCTTTTGGAAAATTTCCAAATTCCAAATTCAATTAATCAATCAACACGAACCCATCAGGTACGTTTCCGCTGTTCAATTATGATTCTCGATTATTCAATATGAACGCTCTTGGGATTAATATCGATTTATTTTGAGTAAAGTAAAATACAATTCTATCATTTTTTTAATATATATATCCATCCACTATTAATTTAAATAGAAAATCATGGAAACAAATTACCAACACTAGCCACTATTATTAATAAACTGATTATTAAAATAAGTCCAGTGATGTATTCACATGTTTCCAGAATATATATTATCACCCATAATCAATTAATCCAATTACAAAACCGAAGCAATAAGATCGAGCAATTTTGATTTTGACCATTCAAATCAAAGTCAATCACATGTAACTGAACCCAGATCATTTGGATAAAAATTCAATCACATGGATATTTGATCCTAAATCAACTAAACAGATCCATCGCGCATAAACATGATCAGTGAAGTTAATTCACAAAAAAAAATCACGAAGAATCTCTGATACCAATTGATAGAATTGGATTTAACTTTATTCGAAATAAATCGATATTAATCCCAAAAACGTTCATATTGAATAATCGAGAAATATAACCGAATAGCGAAAGCGTACCTCATGGATTCATGTTGATTGATTACTTGGATTTGAGATTTGGAAATCTTCCAAACAAACCGTGAATCTTTCCCTTATTTCTTTTGACGTATGAAAGAAATAAAACTTTATCACTTGAATGATGCTCTCCCCCCTTACCTTCTTTATATAGATATTACACAATTAATGAAGTCGGCAACTATTTCCAACCACTCCCTTTAATTAATTTTTTTTATTATTATTTCTTATAGGTTATCTTATTGTGTATTACTTTATTTTAACTTACTCATAAATAATTTTGACCCAAATTAATTGTTATTTAAGTCTTTAAATTTAATATTATTATTTGTTACGTCACTAAATAATAATATCATTCCACAATTAAAATTAAGTTACTTAGCTAATGTACAATAATTTAATTACTTAATTTGACTAAACAATATAATGACTCTATTTATTAATTACACATATTTATGTTTTCTTGAAAACTTTTGTGATATGAATTGTATGAGTTGATCACAACAATTTAATTCTAAAAACATTTCAATTATAAAAATGAAAATTTTTGCATGGATCCGTCTTGTGAAATTATCAAAATCATGTATCCCACAAAAAGAAGAACATTGTATGCAGAAAGTTCACTCAAATCACATGTTTATTGATGCAAATGGAGTACAGGCTTGTGAGTTGTGATTGTATCTGCAGAGCGAGAGCGCTTGGAAACCGGGCGGGCCAAGCCCGAGTCCGAACTCACCCATCTTGTTGAGAAAGTCGATTGCTTGCCTCGAATTATCGGGCCGCGGCGTGCCTGTGGAACACGGCAGCGAACGCGAGCTCCTTTTTAGGGGCTTTTTTCTCGCAGGCGTTTGGTCGAGCACCTGGTGGGCATCGTCGAAAACTGGTACTCTCGTAATTTCTTCAAACTCCAAGGATTCAACCGGTAGATCACTATTGGTTTCGAGGGCAGCCATGGAAAATCTCAGAAGATGTGATAAGAAGGAGCCCTGGATAATCATAACACTCCGTCAAATTCAGTGAAAACCCATCTGGCCCTCTCTGTGTGTGTGTGTTTGTGTGTGTGTGTGTGTGTGTGTGTGTGTGAGAGAGAGAGAGAGAGAGAGAGAGAGAGAGAGAGAGATGGGGAGGGTTTTTGTTGTGGAGCTTGAAGGAAGAACATATATATGCAAATTCTGCAAAACTGATTTAGCCCTTTACAGTGAGCTTGTGACCCGGGTTAGATGCTTCGTCCCTTTCTTGTATTTGTTGATAATTCTCCATTATCTTTTTTTTTTTTCACTGTTGATTTTGTTTGCATATTTAGCTTATTTGTTCTCTGTCTGAAAATGAATGCTTACAATAAACACTTTGATCTGTCACTTTGATCTGTATTGATGTTGTGCTTTGTAAGTTGTGTTTGGTATAGAAATCAGGTTTCTTGACAGTTATGATCCAAAAGGAGGTTTAGAAAACTGCGAGCTGGGTTCACAGTGCTACCAATCCTTTTTTGTTTAATAAACAAGTTCGATTAGTTGTTTGATCTTGGATTTCTTAAGTGAGAACTGAGTTAAGCTCAAGCTTTCACGAACACTATTTTGTTTCGAATCATAATATTGCTACCGATAGGAAAAACAAAAGAAAAATCTATGCTTCTAAGTAGATTTCTAGTTTCTATACATCAAGCTAGAGGCTTTATTTTGTTCAAAGATTGTTACTTTCTGGTTTGCAATTGGGACTGTATTTTCTTATTTAATATTATGGTTGCTTATATTTCTTAGGCATTCCATTGCCGCAGTGGGAAAGCGTACCTGTTTAATAACGTGTAAGTCCCCCAATGGCTCTGCTTTACGATGCTTGGTTTTGTTAAGTTGTGCTTTGTAGTTTTCTTAAAAAATTGTCAAGTTTTAATTGAGTCTAGAAACTAATGAAGCTAAGTCTTTTGTTATGCTTGAGCAAGTTTTTTTCCTTTCGAGTTCATGTGCTCGATTCTGAATTTCAACGATGTGGTTAAAATACGACATGGCAGTCCTTATATGTGCAACAGTGAAGAGGAATATAGTAGTATTTTTCTGTTTAGTTCATATTGGTTGGTCTAAGAGCTTTTGCACGGTTTTATGGTTCGGTAACAATGTATAACCTGGAGAATCATCTATTAAAGAAATCCCAAAGAGAGGATGATTTGTTTACTCCTTTTCACGAATATCATCAATAAGTTCACCTCTGAACGGGTTTGATTTTTCTTGTGCTCGGTAATCGGTTTTTTTCTCAGATATAACATCACAATGGGACCGCTTGAGGAGAGGATGATGTTATCTGGAATGCATACTGTGGCAGAAATATTCTGCTGCTGTTGTGGGCAAATAGTCGGCTGGAAATACGTACGTTTGCTCCATATGTGCCTTCATTCTTTTACTTTTTTTAATCACGTGAGTTCAATTGTTCTCGATTTTCTGCATGCATTCACTGTTTTCAGGAGGCTGCTCATGATATAAGCCAGAAATACAAAGAAGGGAAATTTGTTCTTGAGCGGTATTTGAAACTGTTTTATACACCAATCTTCGTCTTTTTTCCTTTTGCTTTTGAGGAAATTCTGACTATTTTTTTTTTCTTCTTCTTCATATTTTGGCATTGTTGCTGTATCAGAGAGAGGATATCAGATGGAGTTGACTCGGACTTCTGTATCAATGCTCGGGCGAGTAGCAGTGATGGTGACGATGCATAAATTTTGTTGTACTTTTGTGTACTTGCAGAATGTAGTTAAAGTGTTGAGGCAAAGCTTACTGTAAATATGAATCTGGTGTGTTGTGTTTAGATTTTGTGTGCTTAAAGTTGAGGATAATATGTGTTGTTTTAGTTTTAGACACTGGATTATGGATCTTCTATGCTTAGAGAGAGTGTGTTGTGCACTATTACTGAGACTGTTTTTACACATAAAAAGAAGGATATTAAGGGTATTCAATTAAACAGTAATGCTCACCTACTCACGGTGGGGACATGCTAATATGCCCACCGCTTATGTGGCATTCACTCATTGGTAATATATTTGTTTGAACATATTCACATCACCAATGTGTGCATGCCACATAAACGGTGGGCATATTAACATGTGCCCACTGTGGATAGGGGAGCATTATCCTTCAATTAAAACTTATAAAGACTTTCAAAATAATGAATTGAACTTTTTGAGACTTCTAAAAAGTCTGCATATATATAATTGAGACCTTAAAAGACTTTTTATTATAAATCACTAAAAGTTTCAGTGTATTTATTTGAAACTTTCTAACAGTCTCAGTAAGTCATCTGGTAGTAGAAAGACTTTATAAGACTTCTTAAATTGGAAGACTTATAGAAATTTTATTAATAAAATTATAGACAAAGTCTAAATAGAATCTCATCAAATTGGTGAGATTTTTCTATGGAAATCTAGATGTCCACTAAAGTCATTAAATTTTCACAAAATCCACCAAAGCCACTCACTTTAAAAAGTCTTGAAAAAATTTTAAAAGTCCTAATTGAATATACTCTCTAATTATTTGCGAGTGACTTTGATTTTTATAATCTAATTGAAATTTTTGATAAGGGAAAATATGAAATAACAAATAAAATATACATAATATGTTTGATAAACCTAGGTGATAAGATAACTTAGAACTATAAGTTAGATAATAGATTATAAGTGAACTTTGAGCTTATATTTGATAGTTTATTGCTTAAAAACTTGCTGATATGATAAATATTTGGTAAAATTAGTTGATAATCCTACTTATAAGTTAGATGATAGCTTATAAGTGAATCTTGAGCTTATAGTTGATAACTTATGACTAAAAAACTAGCTGATATAATAAGCATTCGGTAAAACTAGCTGATAAGCCCACTTAAATAAATTTCAACGGGCTTATTGATAATCTACCAAATGAAGCTTATAAGATAACTTTTATTAACAAAACAACTATTCCTACCAAACCAAGCTTATTTGAATACAAGAAGTTTATAACATAATCAAATAAGCTATAAACTAGATGTTGCTTACTAAACATACTCGTAAATGATCTTTCTTTTCATCATTTAATAGAGTTTCTTTCCTTATTAACTTTATTTAATAAATCCCTTCGATTCCAACCCTTTTTATTTCGGATATTATTTTGCAACCAACATGTGAGTGGCCAAATCATCCTAGGACCTTAACTCGAGTTACTCGTCCTCAACTCTTTCCACCTTGAGTATGGTTAGATCATCATGATACCCTAGCTCGAGTTGCACATCCACGACCCTCTATAGCTCGAGCATGTTCGAATCATCATTGAACCCTACCTCGAAACTACTCATTTGTGATTCTCTTCGGCTCAAGCATGTCAGATGATCTTTGAAGCCTAGCTCAAGCTACAAGCCTACAATACTATCATATTCCTAAAATAAACATTTACCTCGGACTACAAATTGGTGATGATATGTAGTTGAGCATGATCGTGAACAGATCATCTATAAACCTTAACTCGAGCTACGCTTATAATACTGTCACAATCGTACATTCATAACCTCTTTTATCTGCACATCCTACTTAACAGAGTTATACGCTTGTAGTACTACAATAATCATACCTTCATAACCTCTTTTATTTTCACATCCTAAAATATATTTTTTTTCAATTTTAATCGAGCTAATATATTGGGCTATATTATTATTATTTGTTTTTTTTGGCAACAGGCTATATTATCTTTAATAACAACAATAAAACACATTAATACC